GAGAGAGAGAGAGAGAGAGAGAGAGACTCATGTGCTGGAAGAGCGGAAATTTTCTAATTGGATCAGTGTTTAATGATTGTTACTAACTGTAATTTATGATATAGTTTCTTTACATTTCTTTATATTTCTGCGAAAATGGTGCTGCCCAACTGATGTGAATAATTCCGCAATTAGTATATGGTTAATTAATTATGATTTAAGAGATAGCATCAAACACGACAACAAAAGCTCATGTGTGGTGTTCATTTCATCTTCCTCTGTTTCGAGAATAGACAGTGAATTATAAAGTAGAAGATATATATCCTGTCCAGTTGACCGTGATTACATCGATGTTTTAAATCATCACGTCATTAATATTTTACTGCCATTATGTTACGATTAGGCATCGTGAGAATTATAATTTTGTATTACCTTTTATACTACTATAACTCATTATTACCTTTTTATAACGCGATATTTTGGAAGCATAAACTTAGTATCAATATGTACATTTCAGAGTTTCAAAATACACTTAAAAATACACTTAGAAAAATAAGTTAAAATAAATATTATTTTCAATGTACTGATATATATATAATTACGCGAGGCTGAAAAATGCGTGAACAACATAGATCATTTTTTAATTTTATTTATTGTGTGTTTGGCATGTATTATTGTAACTTACTGAAAGAATGGATCAAACAACGGAAATTAATTTATAAGAACATGAATCGGGTTAGATTTACAAAAAGCTGTATTGATAGAAAGATTGTGCCTTCACATTTATAAAGAATCAGTAAATTCACACTAAATCTTGATTTGAAAAATTCTTCAACAAATAAGTTGAATAATATTCGTGATGATTACATTAAAAGAATTCCCAAGGTAGAACTTAATGATGCATATTTATCGATTAATTTCGCGAGAAATAGAACTTTCCATCTTGCTCGTATCGCTTCAAGGGGGATTCCTATGAATATATTAAATAATTTTTTTCAATCTCAGGACAAAAAGATATATAACGAGTTCTTACTTGAAAGAAAAAGGATTAACAAAAAGATTGCTTGGGGCTAAATTTTAAAGAAAAGAAGAAAAGAATGGGAGAGATACGGAGCATTGAGTACTTCTGGATGAAACCATCATCAGTACATGATAGTGACAGTGGCATTGGCCAGTTGTTTTACAATAAAAGGATTACACCTTCGGAGGGATACAACTTGATTGAGGTTACTGTCGCTCCGAATAAATTTGAAAATAACAAATGTTCATTGTGTCATGTGTAAGGGGTAAATGGTTCACCAACCTTTCATCGGTTTCTATTCCGGAGTGTGTTCAGTGCCTTTTGCAATTAGGTGGAAACTTTTCTCTTCTCATTTGTTATAATAGCAAATTAATTTTTGAATTCATAAAAAATGTTGAATTTAATATAAAAAGATTACAGACATCCGTACACAACTCAGTTAGAAATAATTCTATTGCAATAATAAATAGCCTATTTTCTCTTAAACAAAAAAAAAATTTTGTTATCAAAAAATTACAAAAAGCAACACGGTTAATTAAGCAATTTTTTAAGGACAATAGTAACATTATTTTCACTAAAGCTGACAAAGGCAACTTAACGGTAGCACTAGACAAAAACATGTATATTGAAAAAGTTAAAACAATGCTTGATAATAAAGGCACGTACATGAAAATTCTCAAGGATCCTACGAGTAAAATTAACAGTAATTTAAGACAACTGTTAGCAGGATGGAAAAAACAAAATTACATTTCGGAATTAACCTACAAACAATTCTATTGTAGTCATGGTAACATTCCTAGGGCTTATGCGTTGCCAAAAGTGCATAAACTAAATTGCCCATTTAGAATCATCATATCCTCTTTGGATAGTGCATTACATAATTAGGCAGCGTTCTTATATAGTCCGATTGTAAAAAGCATTCCTAAAGCGGCTAGTAACATCGAGAACAGTTTTGAATTAATTCAAAAATTAAAAAACATTAAAATTAATCATGGGTTTAGTTTGGTGTCGTTGGATGTAATATCACTCTACACTAACATTCCAACGGATTTAGCAATAGACGCTCTTTCCAATAGATGGGACGTTATTTTCAAGAATTGTAATTTACCGAAAAATGAATTTATCCAAGCTGTTCGCCTAGTATTGGATTCAACTTTTTTCACGTTTGACTACCAATTTTACAAACAGACTTTTGGAACGCCTATGAGTTCACCGCTTTCTCCGATTGTTGCTAACTTAGTTATGATGGATTTGGAGAATTTGGTGTTGAGCAATATTCAATATCATGTATCATTCTATTATAGATATGTAGACGACATCGTTCTTTGTGTTTACCGAATTCTAAAATTTATTCTATTCTTGAAAAATTCAATTCATTCCATTCAAGGTTACAATTCACCTTGGAAGTGGGTGGTAATTCTATCAATTTTTTGGAACACAACTATAATTTAAAAAAATAACTCATTAATATTTGACTGGTATCAAAAACCAATATTTTCGGGAAGATTTTTGAATTTTTTATCTCAACATCCAATCTCGCAAAAGAAGGTCATAATTTTCAATCTGGTAGATAAAGTTTTTTATATCTCACATCCACAATTTCACAAAAAGAATCTTGAATTTGTTGTTGGGATACTTTTGGAAAACGATTATCCATTAAATTTCATATTCGATACTATTAATGAAGAGTTAAAACATTAATAAAAAATTGAATTCTTGTTCAGCTATAAAAACAAATAACAATTTACCTAAAGAACGCGTTAAATGGTTTTCCATACCATATGTGGAAGAGATATCGAATAAATTCAAGAATGCAATTAAACGGTTCAATAGATAAGGACAGTTTAATGCGTTTGAGCGAGACACAATGATATATAATAAGTATAAGAAATGAATGAAAGATGTCACTATTATCGAATTTGGAATTTAAAAAAGTCTGTACTATCGACCTTAATTAAGTTCTACCGTCATTCCAGCATCTCCTTAAACACAATAGGCACAGGCAACAGAGAATAATGAGCCGTCCAATCAGAGCTCTGGGATATAATATCGAATTTACACACCAGAGCTCTGACTGGACAGCTCGTTATTCCCTGTTGCCTGTGCCTATTGTCTGTGCTTATTGTGTTTAAGCCTTTAAGCCTTTAATCTCTTATCTGTTATTGTTTTAATCTTCGTAAAAGTCATGTCTCAATCTCTTATATATAGTAATTTTCCCTCTGCGAGGCAAGCTTTCTTTATCACATATGCTAGCGCATTCGCATGGCATGTGAAAATAATCATTTCTAACCAATAAGACCCGATTGCACGAATAAACATAGTAAATGTTCAACACAGTTGATGCTTTCCATTTGAATTGCACAGATGCACAGCTTGTTTTGATATTAAGGGTATGTCGTAAAAGTTATACTGGATTGTGGTGGTGCTGTCTCGTGAAAAGAGGAACTTTATATAAGCGCCATTGAAAAAGTAGGGATAGGGACGGACTTTACTTTTACAAAGGTCGATCGGTCCCGACGAGTTACTTTTACGGAGATTCGATTGTAACAATAATTATTTAATTCGTGACAATGTGTCCGGACGCGTTTTTATTTATTTCCAGTCATTATTTTCAACGGCAAATTGTTCGATTATATGTGGCTATCTGGGCATGCAACAGTCACGGTGCCGATCATCTTATTAAAAAGATTCCAGCGTTCCTAGTAGTTTATTAGTCAGAAGAAGTACGAAACCTTCGTGAAATAAGGCTAAGGAACGGCCGTCATGGATAGAGAACGAAATCTAATTATCACTCACCAAAATTGATGCATCTCGTTCGTTCGCATTACAATAATCAATCCAGTACGATAAACAATCAAACCCATTAAATGAATATGCAATTACAATCCAAATGCTATTTTTTCGTCAAATAAAATAAAATAATGTAACGCCATGTAATATTCATTCTACGATCGCATTGACGCAAATGGCTTGTATCACCATTGTTACGAATATATAAACAGGATCTAAAGCCAAGCGTGTAATCATAAATAACACAGGCCGACAAAATTTAGGGAGTTTTGTACTTTGAACTTTGAAAGATGTTCTGTAGGATTCCGATGTGCCGAAAACGACTATGTTGTCCGTTTTTTTCCATCACCCTTCATTTGTTAAATAATCGCAAAAACAATTTTTTCCGGAAGTAACTTTTTATTAATTTTTTCCGGCTAAACAATAAAATTATTTCGAGGTCTGTTTTACGGCATTTAACTCAGAAATATTCCAACAATATTAAAAATATTTTTTCAACGTTTATAAGAATGTTTTATGCCATGCAAACTCTAAACAAAAAACTTTGGAAAAGTCGTAAAAAACCGGAAAAAATTGACAAATTTTGAAATAAAAAACCAAATAATTCGAAAAATAAAAATCGTAAAAAATATTTGACAATTTATATTTA